ATAGAGTACTACACCCAAATTCCCAAATATTGTTTTTAAATTTTTCTTTATATTTAAAGGGGGATATGCTATAGAGATTTACATTGACATGGATCCTGGTTTATTGAGACGAACTTAAGGTCATTCTTGTTATATGTATATTTCTGCTCTTGATTAAGGTATTGTGATTGTATATTTCATTTTAAAATGTAATGTATAATTAAGAAATATCGGTTAATAGTCATCTATAATAGTCAAGCTTGTAGTCATGTTAGTTAGATTTTCTAGATGTACAGAGATGTATTTCAGATAGATAGGTATTCTTCAAATCTTTCAGAGACCTTCAGAATATGGCATTTAAATGTTTTAAGAAGTTAGGACTTTTCATGACAGTGAGACACATATGCTCCTGGCAGCACCAATTACTTCAAGGGGAAGATGGGCATTAAAGAAGCTACTTATGGTGTTGGTTAGTGATTTGGGCAATAAACTTCTCTTGCCTGGACTGCTTGATGAACTGGACATGCAGGACCCATAGAGAAATGACTGCTGAACTTGCCTAAAGGTGAGAAGATCCTTTGGGGTTCCTGCTTCATGAAAGAGTCTGCAAGACATTCTGCAGGACACAGAAAAAAGTGATTGACAAATTGCCAATATAGGCAGAACAGTCTTTGAAATTTCCTGCTATGTGGAAAAGTCTACTGGATACTATGGACCTGTAGGATGAAAATGAATGCCCCAATGGTACAGAAGAACTTTGGGTGACTGTCCATCCAGTGAGATATCTCTGTCAATTCTAGAGTTTTGGAAGTGGCTTACAATACACCTCCTGTTTACTTAGGTAATATTATATCCTTCTGGAGTTTGTGATGGAGTTGAAGAATAAAGAAAAAGTAGATATAGTTTTTGTTAATTATGATACAAGATAAAGTAGATATAAATATTGTAACTGCAATTCTCATTTGATACCTGTTTTATTATATGTAATTTTACTATGTTAAAGTTAAATAATTCCTTTTTATTTAAATGAAAAGAGGAGGTGATGTGGGATTTCCCTCTGTATGCTGTGATTACCATTAATGAATAATGAAACTGCTTTGGACCTATAGCAGAGCAAAACTTAGGCAGGGAAAACTGAACTGAATGTTGGGAGAAAGAAGGGCAGAGCCAGAGAGAAGTCATGTAGCCCCTCCAGAGACAGATGCTGACTGTTACTGGCCACATGGTGATACACAGATTACTAGAAATGGGTTAAATTAAGATGTAAGCATTAGCCAATGAGATGTTAGAGCTAATGGGCCAAGCAGTGATTTAAAAATAGTTTCTGTGTGATTATTTCAGGGCTAAGTGGCCAGGACCTAACTAGCTGCCTTATTCCTACAGGCATCCTTTAACAGTACTAAATACGTGTGTGGAATCTGTGGCATCCTTATTCTGACACATTTCTTAGCTTGTCATAGTCTAGCCTTCTTCTCCAGGGAACTTTCTCCATCACTATTCACTGAAACTCATCAGACAATGCTTGGCTTCCTTCCCACTCCTGTCTGCTTGGAGAGGCTTCAGAAACCCTTGTTCGGATGCTGGGTACAGTTGCTGACTCACCTTGAAGACAAACACCCCCGAGTGCCTATAATGCCTCAGTGTGCTAATTGATGGGGTTGGAGATAAAGAAATCATGATTCCCGTTGTTCTCTAGGAACAGTTAGCCTTAGCGGCTCAGCCACTATCAAGCTAGTGAACCCCCGACATGACAGAATCTCAGACAATGGTATTAAGCTACAACTCCACCTTTGTGCTATCACATCTACGTGATGCGGCTCTTTCAGAATCCCACAGCCTTTTACCTCCGCAGTTTCTTTCAAGACCACCATCATGTCCCCATACTCAAAAACACAGGTATTCTCATTTATCCCTCCTCATTCAAGGCATTAAGGATCAATTCTCACCATTGCCCTCAGCAATATCTCTTAGGTGCCTCTCTGTTTCTCAGGCAGGTCCACAGTCCAAGCTCAAGACACTGATTTGGATACTGGATGTAGCCTGTAGCCTCTCTTTGTTACTCTGTGCTATCCCCCAAGCTCCTGCAGTACATCCTTGACCAGCTTGCCAAGTGAGGTTTTTTGCTGTGACTAACTTGACCCAAGAGTCACAATTCCTCACTGTTCTGGGTTTCTTTTTGCACCCCTTATACATTCGAGATGAAATTATTACACAGGCTTATGTAGAGACATAAAATAAACTCCTAGGTGGCCAAGAAGTAACCGAGGGAACAATGGTTGCATTTTAATGAAAGTGGCATGTAAACAGGTAGCCTTGGGAACCAGTCCCATCTGGCATGTGGCAAAAGGTGCCCTTTACAATAGCCTACAAAGCATCAAGAACCATGGCAGAGCATCTCTCAGGCTTGGACATAGCTGAAGGAAAAACAACCAAACAAAACAACAACAAACCAAAGCTAGAAGCTGCATGGGATGCCTTTCCTTCTTGCTAATGGCATCCAATTCACAGCAGTAATGATATATTAATATTGCCAAATAGACAGAAGATAAATATTTTTTAAAAAAAGAACAGACAAGTTGCATCTCGGAAATTATTCAGTTTTTCTTATTGCAAAATCAATACCCATCAGCGGTTTGAAATTAAAGGCAAGATTAGGTCTCAGTTTTCTACATGCCTTATTGTATTCCAAAAGCTTTCTACTAGGTCAGATAAATCTTCTTTAAGAGGATTAGGAAACTTTCATTATCTTTATCTAACCTGAACTAACACCAAGTCTGAAAAATTAATCTATGGACTGGACAAAAGCCGATGACTGCTGGGAAGAGAGAGGACCTTGCCTCTGTCTCACTGAGTAGTGAGAGCAACAGGGTTGCTGCATCTGCCCCCTGAGGACTCTACATTGCTCACCACTGTGGGCAGGAATGCCCTTGTCCAGCTCAGGCTCCTGGTCTCTAGCTTAATGGAAAATCCTGTGTGAGGAATGTTCTAGTGGCAGAGCATCCTTTATCTTCCAGCCACCTGCTGGCTTGCTTTTGTACTCCACAAGCTCCTGGGAGGCCAGAGCTACATAGGCCATGGATGTGGACAATGGGAGGAACTGACTTCTAAGATAGGAGAAACTGTAGCCCTGGTGCCCCAATTCTCACACTGTCCATGAGTGCCCCCTACCCACACCAGGAGACATTGTAGGCTTCCATACAATGCTCCAGGAATCACCCAAAGTGCATTGCAGAGGCATCATCCCTGAGACCACTTTCTGTGAGCTCCATGTGAGCAGTTTCAGCTCGTACATGCTTACATATTAGTCTCATCCTGTTGATGCCAACAGTCTGGGTCTGTCTCCGTACAGCACCTGATAACCTTCTTTTCATCTCAGTGCCACACCCTCTAGATGTGAAGACCACTGTGCTTTGCAGCTTTTGGAGGTGCCACCTTCAAGACTGAGAATCTTAGCTCCTCTGGAATCAAGCCCACGTGGCAAGCAGATATTAGGACATTCCAACCCATCTTCAATCACTATCTTAAGCAGTGTGTCCACTGTCCTTTGAGAAGGGACTTGTCCGTGCATTCAGTTCCAGATAGCAACCATTCTTGACTCTCTTAGCAGTGATCCTTACCCAATCACCTGCCCTCTGGGTGGGGCGCATATGTTGAAACCAGCAACATCTGTAAATGCCCATTCCATGACAGGCCCTTTAGAATCTCTGAAATCATGAGGGGCAGAGATAAGAATCAACAGATTGGACAGAAGCCAGGCTTTAGTATTGTGTCTCTCAGAAGAGCTGCTGAGGATGACAAATATGATTAGACCTATCTGTGGCCCAATATATCTATTGCACAGTATCTGCAGAGGTAGACATGGATGCTCTGTCCAAAAGAAAGAGTGGGCATATGAAATGGTCTATGTGACTGAGTGTGAAGAGATGCTAAGTCTCATCTACTGTGGTCTATGAAACCAAAGGAAATGAGTTACATCTTATTTTGCAATATAAAATTAAAAAGGAAATCAATAATATCTATTGAGTCTATGGCAGATGGAATCTGATAAACTGAAGTTGATAATGACCAAATGATGCACAGGCCCCTTTCTGAGAGCTCGGTGGATGTCTCTAAGATATTAGCTGTATGCTTTGAGAGAGGATAAGCTAAGCTTCTCATTTGGTAGAGGAAAGATGGGCCATTGGGTGATGGAGCTCTTCTGTTTGAAAATCCATTCTTACCATAATAGCATAGTGCTTAAGCCGTGATGGCAACTAGGATAGTTCAAAATAAGTTTACTTTGCTTGTTTGCCTTGCCTCAACATGGTCTTCAAATTTGTGTGACTGCTATCTGCAGGTCTTTTTAATTTAATATTTTGTATCTGACATCTGAGATAATTTATTTTTAGTTCAAGAGTATGATTGAAATTAATAACCATCAAAACACATTTGATACTATACCTGTGCTAAACTAACTCAGATGTTTTTGAAAAATAAATGATGATACTGAAGCATCCTTTCAGCTCCTTTTACTTGTATGAATTTATTTCCAATAATATGCATTTATTTCGAACATTGCCCTGGAGATATCATTCTTGTAAGGTCTCTCTTGGCTCCACCTTGGGACTGTAAGTATAAACTTAGCAGGAATGCCAAAGAGGACCTAACTGATTAGAACTTAGCATCATTTCTAGAGCACACATGGCCAGCTTCACATCAATATCAGCCTTTTATTATGAAACAAGCCTTAGAGAAATAAAGGCCTCTGTGATTAATACTGCATTTATCTGTATTTGAATCCTGTGTCAGCTTCAAATGCTAAGTTTCTTAAGAAAGTTCAACCTTATATGCACAAAGGCTCCCTGGTGAGAACAAAGGGCTAGAGAAATAAAGAAAAAATTTGAAAAACTTCTAGAAGATTTGCAATTCTTAACCTGTGGATTTAATAGAGGAAAGTGACCTTTTGTATCTTTATTCATAAGCACAAAGACCAAGGTCCATTTCCAAAAGGAACACCGGGCCCAGGACCAGCTGTAACTTACCTTGCACTATGAGGTGGACCCGGGAGGTTTTGGGGTGATTGTCTGTCTGCACCGAGCAAGTGTATGGACCTTCATCATATACATCCACATTCTGGATCATGATACTGTATTGGGTAGGCGTGTTGACCAAGATGATCACTCGAGGGTCTATGGACCATTTGTCATTCCCAGCATAGAGGATTGTGCTGCGGTTTAGCCAGGCTACCCTGGTGACCCGATCATCTATGGTACACCTGTGAGAGGGATGTGGGGATAGGGTAGAGAAAAGGAGGACGAATAGAGGCAAGAAGGAAATAGGGAGGGAGCAAAGGAGAGAGGGAGAGAGAGGAGAGACAGAGTGGTTATACATTCGCTCTTATATGGCAAGGCAGAAATTAAACAGCAACAATACTAAAAGAAGACATTCAATTATTAATGTAACTTTGTGAACACAAGGCAAGGGAGGCTTGAATCATCCAGAAGAAGCCATGATACAAAATCATTTCTCCTTGATTTAGGAACATATTATGTGAATATCTCGCCTGCACACTGCTTTTCCTCTTACTTTACCCTCAGGCTTATATGAAAATTAGTTTATATTTCTTGAGCACATTTACCACATTGGCAGTAGCAAAGACCCAGAGGCACAAGGGACAGAAAGTAGATCAGTATTTCAAATAGGTCACAGATAATCCATGAGTAAATACTTAACTTGTAGTTAATCAAGACTTGAACTTATTTACCTCAGACCTCCCAGGTCCTGGTAATCTCCTTGTGCCCCTAAGCTCCACAAAGCCTGCAAAGATGGGTAAAATTCACCTCAGAAAACCAGAACTTTCTCAGGCGCTCCCAGCTATTTCCAAAGATTGCAGAGGAGGGAAGATTCCCAGCAGGGCCATTCTGTACCCCTCCCTCACTCCTATGAACGCAGGCTGAAATCACAGAGAGCCCTTCAGCCAGTTTCCCCAGCCATGGCAGGCTGGGAATGCAAATGACAATTGCTTGTTGCTGTGTATAACCTGCAGTCACCCGTGCTCAAGGGAGAGCCAAATGTGCCTGCAGCTGGGGATGGACATTGGCAGATGCGCCCCAGGAGCTGGGAACCTGAGAAGAGATACAGAAGGACCCAGAGTGCAATGTGCTCTGATGGGTCAGAGATGTGCACACCCACAACCTATTGCTGCAAGCCCACATAAAAGATTGGCAGCAGCCCTGGCATCGACAAGAGACAGGTGGGTCTTAACGTCCAGGTAAAAGCAAGGCTTCCCACACAGTCTGACCAGGGCTGGGTGGGCGCAGAGGTGCACCAAGCAGGTTGAAGACACAGCTGGGCTCCTAAGAACAGACGTTGGCTAAGAGACCAACCTGCAAAGTTCAACCTGCCACAAACGAATGCAGGTGACAAGGAGCAGCTGAAGATGCTAACTTTCACCTGGGGCAGTTTTATAACCTTCGGCGTAGCTGTAAACTGATTTAGTTCAGCTGTAGCTTCAAGTAATTCACTTTTGGTGTGTAGAAAATAATTCACTTTAAAATAAAGCTTCCAGGGAATTTCTTTGATGGGGACTGAGAGTCTGTGTGTGTTCAGTGGAATTTGAACACTCTAGTGATTGATAATCACGATAATCCACCTTCAAAATTCATGAGCAAGCTCTTCTCTAAAAGTCATAAGTATATATTGTTCCTCTTTGAACTTGAGGTTATCCTTCCATTATACGTCCTCAGCAGGATGCATTTTATGCTTGAAAACATTTTATTGATCACCTATCATATTTATCTGTAAGAAAATATATAGAGATTGAATTTCAAACTTCTTTTATATCCTTTGGCTATAAAAATCTAAGTAATAATATTTGCTTTTAAAATGACTTACCACCACAAATGTAAAATTGGCAAAACAATATAAATATCTTGCACAATTTAAGTAATAATTAACCATAAAAAAGTTAACTTGGATTGTAAATATAGAGCTTAATCACATGGGTAAGCCTGTTTTTCATACCACAAGTTAAGAAATCATTTACTTCTATAATGAGCTAACATTAGGATCAATTCTATTCTACTCTTGCTTTTAAAGAAACCTTGTTCACATAAGCCCAGAAATGGCAATAAAAATCTCCAATAGCAATGACACTGAATTCTCTGAATGCCTTCCAAGATATATGGCAAAAACTGCACAGTAATATAGCTTCAAAAATTATTTTGATACTCTCACGGCTGACAGTCAATTAGTTCCTCCTTCAATTTCTTTTAAAGCAACGAATTGAAAAAATATCTGATTTGCAGTGGGGTTTGTAACCCAATACCACATTCACTCAGTTTCCCAGTACCTGCGTAAAGTGTACAGATAGCATCTTACCAGGGCTTATCCATTGGCTGTTAATGACATGCTCTTCTTTCCCTAGATACATCTGGTTTAACTCGCTGTGCTAAAAAATACTGTTTTCATGTGTTAAGTCATACTGCCGTCTATGAAAACCGTCTCTTTGAGCTCTGGCTCAAGGGCAGAGGACTCAAGATGCTGCTAGGAATTTGCCGCTGCTGTGGGAATGAGACTTCCCTGCTTTACTATGGTGGGGCCCTTCCTGAAGGTTAAGATAATGCTGGTAAGAAGACGACAAGATAATGGAGTTATAGGGAAATACTGTCTCCTGGATGATTGTGACATGGGCATGCTCAGAAGAGAAGTGGTCCAACGTTAGGTGCTTTCTCAAGCAGAGCAGATGGAGAGAGAATCAACATCTTGAAATCCATTTCCTCAAAACCTATTATTGACTTCATCTGGGACCGGCAACTGCAGACTGAATGTGCACGCAGCCCCGGCAAATGGTCCCAGCTGCAGCAGAAAAGTGTGGTTTGATATTTATTAATCCAAACCCTTCCTTTCAGGGAAGAGCACAACCCCAGTATCCTTAGAAGGGTCCAGTGCCCTTGGGGAGATACATCCTGGTGAACGGCCCATGCTCATCTTACTTGGTCTTTAACTGGGCCTCATCAGTGGATACGAGGTACAAACAAAAAGGAGCATCTGTGGAAAGCCTGAGAAAGCAGCTCTCAGAACTTACGAGCAGCAGAGAAACTCGGTGGGCTGGTGGGGCTGGCAGAGGAGAGCAGTCCTCTGCATAACGGCTCTTGGCTCCCAGCTCCTGGCTCCTGGTTTCCTCCTAGCACCATATGACTCTGCTCTGTCTGCTCCTCTGAACAGCGGGATAGAACACTCAGGAAGGATGTGAGCAGTGTGCTCCAGTGATCTTCAAAACCCGGGATCTTTCCTTGCTCTTTGAGGCAATGTGCTGGACCCTCTTTAACGAGAAACCCAGAAGGGAGCATGTTTGATGTCAAATAAGAGTGAGCCAGTAGGCAAGGTGAGGAAGGTTAATGACAACTTTCTGATGCCTTGAGAACTCCTAAACATGTAAAATCTTCACAATCCAAGCCAGCCCTACCTAGTAGTACCTGGGGAACTCATTGCAGCTGGGCTGCAAATGGTCCCTAACAGCAGAACTTGTTGGCTGTTCCTCCAGCAGCACTTGGTAGAACTTCTCATGTATTGCATCCATTCCAAACAACAGACTTTAAGAAACCATTTACATCATCCATAGTTTACAGGTAAGGAAGCTGTGGCGCAATGATACTCAGTCCCTAGTTTCAGAGAAGAGCTAGGCCAATGAAAGCAGGTGACTCACACTTAGGCAGTCAGTGATTGGTGTCCTCATAGGACTAAAGCCAGAAGCATTTGGCTGTCTCTATTTAATCACAGTTGCATAAATCTACAGCACTTCATTTTTTCATAAATGGCAAAATAATTTAAGAGGAAAGGAAAACCACTTAGTATCATCTTTTCCATGTCCTAAAGCCACTGGTAGTGTGAGGAAAGTGGGTAGAAATAAGAACCAGGGTGAGCCAAGAAATGCCTGCAAGGCACCTTGGGGACTGGAAGGCAAATGTTCTCCAACTTCCACTGAGTCTGAAACAGGAATTACAAGGGTTGGGTTTATTCTTTGTTTTGTTTCTCATTTTCAGAGGTGAGACTGCATTTCAGGCAAACCTACACCTAAAAACACAGGTTTCCCAACCCAGTAAACATGAAAAACTCAGGCCAGTAAGGCTTGCTCCCTTAAACTTCCAGCCAGGAGGTTGCGAGGACCTGAGCTGGCCCTTAGCAACCTCCTTAGCTGCTGTTCTGTGGACTTTTCTTGAGAATGTCTTTCCTTGAGGAACTAGGCAAGACGCTGTTCTGAACAGACAGAAGATGCTTTTGCCGAAAACATTAACTCCTCGTGTGGACCAGAGGACAACTAAAAGTAACTTGAAAGGTTGGCATCTCTGTGTTCATTTTGGACCTGACTCCTTGATCGTCTGCTTACTTCTCCAAAGAAGTGTGCTCATTGCTCTCAAGCTGTGTCTGTGAAGAATCCATTGGTACCTACCCAACATCTTTTCCCTTCAAGGCTGAAGAAACAGACAACAGGAGCTGGGTNTTTTTTTTTTTTTTTTTTTACAATTTCCTGTTCTGGGTTCCTAAATGCTCTTGAACTTCTCAGATAATTGTCCTAAAACTATAGTTATCTTAGGTGCCCGAACAGCAAAGGCACCCGGGACAGGCCACCTCCCAAATAAGAATAGTTACTATGGTTTCCAGGCAGAACACTAGTGTGGTAGCAATCACTTCCTGAGAACCAGGATGTCTGATCCGCCAATAAGGATTTCTTTAGATCCATTTGCTGAACCAGACTGAGACAAGGATCAACAAACCTGCACTCCTGGAGACTAACCCTGCTCAGTTATGCATACTTCTGGTCCCTTGTTCATCTCTTTTCCCATTTAAACCTAAATCCCCTGCCAGGACCAGAAGACAAACTCAGGTCACTGGACCCCCTCCTCTGTGCCTTTCCCATGTACACTGATTAAATCCAGCTCCTCTGCTTTTCACTGTCACTCGAGTAATTAGTTGGCTTCCTGCAACAGTCAGGCAAGTCTCATCTGTTGGGGCTGCTGGTGCCGCACCTTTTATCTTGAAAATTTCATTTTTAACACTCGCTAAAATTTTTTGTCAAAAGACTCCATTTCCTGCAGTGCAAAATCTGCAAACTTTAACACTTTTATGTTCTTTATTCCTGTTTTTTATTTTATATTTGGCCTCCGAGAATGCAAAAGTAAAACTGCTATCACTCAACTGACACTTAATGAACACCTACTATATATAAGATAACTTTCTTCAGCTGAGAATAAAGAGGCAAATTCCCTGTCTCAT